TATGCCTTGACTGTCCCACTGCCAGGGACCTCCTACCACAGGGAGTCATTTATTCGTAATAATTGAGATTTAATTCTTGTATACTACCCATGCTTTGGTGGGTGCTTACTACCATTATCCTTAAATTATATCAGTATTGTCTCCATGTCACAAGTCATAACGTGTCCTGCAAAACACGAGTACCAATGTATTAGTCATTAGTGTCTCACCGCATGGTCTTGTGACTTGGCTTGCCGCCCCCTTGGGGTGTAATGAATTAATTAAATATATTAAATAATAAGCTCTACATGACTAAACAGATGCTCACAAGCAACAAATGCAGGTTGTGGGGTGTTAAGTTTGGGAGATAAGTCAAATAATGTCGGGAAAGACCTCAGTAGCTCCATTCCATCCCCTGGGCATTCCAAGTACTGTAGCTATCAAGCTCCTTCAATTGAAGAGTTTGTGGATGATTGTTACCTCCATAAAGACTGAGTTCTGACTAAGACTCACTGTGAACTGTCCCTCTAATTGGGGGAGTGGCTGTGGTGATGTCACTCTTCAATTCTAATTGAGGAGTGGCTGAATTTTTTGCACCACATAACATCTGGCAGGTGCTGACGAGGGGTACTTTGTGGGACTTAGTTATTTAAGCACAATATTAAAGACATTCAGCCATATATATATATATATATATATATATATATATATATATATATATATATATATATATATATATATATATATATATATATATATATATATATATATATATATATATAATTATATTAAGCATTGATAATTAGATGACTCAGTTAATAAGGAATTTTGACCATGTATGCATATATATAAGTATATATCATATATATATAATAATATATATATATATATATATATTATATATATAGTATATATGATATATGTACATGTAGTGTTATATATATGTATGATGTATATATATCATATATATGTATGTCATGTATATGTAGGTATGTATATTTATATAATTCAGTATATATATATATATATATATATATATATATATATATATATATATATATATATATATATTATATATAATCCCTTATCCGAAATCCTTGGGACCAGATGCATTTTGGTTTTGGGAATTTTTCGGTTTTCAGAATGGTCAGGTTTTTTTTTTTTTTTTTTTTACAGGGATCAGCCCACCTGGAGTTCTTAGTCCAACTCTCTTCAACATCCTCATGGAAAACTTGTGTCGGCTCCCCTTTCAAGAGGGTACCAAACTGCTATGCTATGCTGATGATTTAGCACTGATAGTAAAAGGCAGAAATCAAATCAGCAAAGTCCAAAGAGCACTAGACCTCTTCAGTGAAGAATGTATGAGTCTCGGGCTCAAGATATCAATCCCAAAATCGAAAGCCATGAGGATTGGACACAATGAGCCGGTGACACAACTGCAAATACAAGGTATTGCCCTACAATGGGTCAATGTATACAAATACCTGGGCATCTGGATTGACAAAGGCCTCAAATTTGACACTGAGATAAATTATCTAAGAGACAGAATAGTCAAGAGAGTCAACACGATGAGAGCCATGAGAGGACCCAAGGTGGGTGCGGGACATGTAGTCCTAAGAACGCTATATATACACGCCATTCGATCATTAACAGACTATGAGACACCGGCTCTTAACACAGTGTCTGAGCGGCAGTAGGAGAAATTGGAGGTTGCCCAGAATAAAGCTATGAGTCATTGTCAAGGCACCAATGTGGACAAACATTGAAAACTTACACATGGAGACAGGTCTCACATCTCTCCAAACCAGGGCGGAACTATTAACAGCGTGCTTTGCAACAAAACTGATTACCAGGGTTCGGGAAAGTGACATCAAGAATGTTCTCTTACGAGCACTGAACCTTAACAATGAGTCTAGACTACAGCACCCCAGCACCGTGGGAGTCCCCGCCAGCAGTCTTCAACATTCTACAAACTGGGACAAGAAAGGCTGACTGTAACCCACATGAGCTCCGACAGGTAGCAGAGAGAAACATGAAGGCTCTAACACCACACAATAGTACAGACGGTTCCGTAGAGCCCACCAGTACGAAGGCAGGAGCAGCCTTCACCATAGGAGGAGGTAACACGTGCCTTTGGAGAACCTCAGATGGATGCTCTACTTTGCAAGTTGAGCTAGCTGCCATACTTGGAGCCCTAAGACACGCTTCCATAAACAATCAACAAGGCATTGTAATACACACTGACTCACAATGTGCTATTGAAGCACTACAATGCAGAGAGCCTAGAGACAACATTCATCTCATAACATCCGTTGTTGGCCTACGGCAAGGGTTAAAACTACAAGATCGGCAAGTTATCATTAACTGGGTGCCCAGTCATATCAGAATCCCAGGGAATGAACGAGTTGATGCTGCTGCCAAGGCTGCGTTAGGACAGCGAAACATTGAGATGAACATCCCGTCCAGTCAGGAGCAGATGAAGAAGACCACAATAACACGAACTGCCCAGTGGTAAATAGGCAAACATAGAAGATTAACACCAGTATCACGATCGGCCAGGTGGTGCTATCTGGTCACGAATTATGAGAGACCACCACTCATGAAGGATATAACAAGAAGGGTAAAAGTCAACTTCCACCGACTAAGACTGGGATACCCATGCATTTGGGAAATCATTGTACAAGTAACAGCAGAGCAGCGCATGTGCAAGACCTGTGACAGCGGAGCCAAAAACTCACTGCCGCACTACCTCAGAGTGCCCTGGAATACATTTAGCTAGGAGAAACATACAACCCCCCTATCACAGTAGAGAAGGTTGCTAAAATGCTAACCACTAACCACTCAAGAAACCCTACAGTTTCTTACCGAGCATCCACCCCCCACGCTAGTGGTGGAGATGTACAGTTAACTAAAATGATGCTAGTGTTTTATCCCAGCAGTGGGTGGACGGGTGGACCAGCATTTTAGCTTAAGGTCCGCGTAGGTAATATTCCCACCCAAAAAAAAAAAAAAAAAATCATGTGAAGATCACTCTACTCAACGCTCTCAAATCAACAAGACCTCTCAACTAGCTCCTCACCACACAGCAACTCCCTAGCACTGCACTGTACATACTATATATAGTATACAGAAAATGCCATTGTGAGGTTCCATTCTTACCTCCATCCTTAGTGCGAGATCTCCTACGTGTATGTATATATATGTGAGCCTATCAAAGAGAAGATAAGACAAACAGAGAAATTTGACAACTGGCCACACGTACAGTACGCTACAATTGGTGACCCCCGGAGTGACGCACTCACACAGGATGAATGAGAAACGGATCACAACATTGAAGACTGGCTAATCCACATGGAGGCAGCTCTCATCGGCTCAACAGCTACAGACGAAGAGAAGTACGTTGCCCTGGTCTGTTCCCTGCCCACAGAAGTCGCCACACAAGTCTCAGAAGTCATCACTAAGCCCCCAGATGACAACAAATTCACAGTTCTACGAGACGCTCTCAAGAGGCGATACCAGCGGCCTGACACCAATCTCCTGCAAGACCTATCCAGTCTCTCCCTCGGCAACTCAACGCCTGCACGTCTCTGGGACGAAATGCGGAGACTGAACTCCCGCCACACAGGCAGGCTTCCTGACATTATCCTGCGCCAGCTTCACACTCAGAAGCTCCCTGCAGAAGTTCGTCTCACCCTATCGGCATTGGACTACTCTACAACCCCGGCGACCTAAGCAGCCACGGCAGACAGAGTATTCCATGAATACACTGCTGTACGCCATGCTGCCACGGACAACTCAGCGGCCACACTGTCACTTTCCTCCGGTTTCATCAACCAGATCAACGCCCCTCAGAGAAGTAGCATTCCACCAGACAAACAAGACAAGGGACCTGCTACAATCTCTACACCTCAGAATGGACACCCTCGAGCAGCTCTGCTCCTCAATGCCTGCTGCTGCGCCTGTTCCTGACCCACGCATTGTGTCCTACCAACCCTGACAGCCCTGTCCTGCCTTAGACGCAGCCCCCAGCACAGTGTACCTACCTTCTGTTGGTACCATCAACATTTTGGTGCTAACGCTAGACGCTGTGAGGCTCCCTGCAACTACACGAGGAAGTGATGTCAACGGGGGTTGGTAAACGCCACTACCTCCTGTCACTTCAGGCGTCTCACCGCTGCATGTCATCGACCATCCATGGACTCAGTCACCCAGTGCCTGGCCTACCAGTCCTCTTAAGATACATCAACACACACAGGCTCCCTTAGAAACCTTCCCTGTACTCAAAGGACGCTTCCAGGTGGTGCACCTCAACATCGTGGGACCTCTTTCATCATCCTGCAGCAACACCTACATCTCCACCTGCATTGACCGTTTCACCGGGTGGACAGAAGCCATTCCCATGCCTAATGCTACAGCAGAGTCATCCGTCCGCGCCTTCCTGTCTGGTTGGGTCTCCCATTTCGGTCCTCCACGACTGTCATCACTGACCGAGGAGTCCAGTTTGAGTCACAACTCTAGCATAGTCTTCTGCAGTTCCTCGGCACTTCCAGGCACAGCACTACTGCTTACCACCCTCAATCCAAAGGCATGGAAGAGTGGTTTCATCGTCAGCTGAAGGACGCCATCAAGGCACAGCACAACCCCTACAGCTGGACAGATGCTCTACCCTTAGTGCTCCTTGGCATCCACGCGTCACACAAAGAGGACACGCCAGCCTTCCCATCGCCCTGAACACATTCATCCTGCACCTCCTTCGCCAGTCTGCCGACCATTGCCGCTTGCAGCACCATCTCGCCCACAACATTTCTGGGTACCCTCTTTTCATCCTCAGGTACCTACTGCTCCTGACACGGACCCTGCTCCTGACTTGGACCCTGCTCTGGATGAGGATCCTGCATCCGGACCTACGGACCCAGACACCCCACCTGGCACCCCTGAGGACTTTGCACCTGCCGCGAGAGAAGCACCACATTCCTCGCCTGTTCAACCTTCTCTCATCTACAACCCTCCTTCTCCCACAG